TAAGGATCATTAATGAAGCTTTATACATTGTATAATTTCTCAGTTCAAAGCGAAAGTTTCAAACCGTCGTTCGCAATTAGGAATATTTGCTGATAAAATATTAAATCTGCTCAGGAGAAAAATCAATTCTACCTGCTAGTGTGCTACAAAAGATCGTGTTTTCATATTCTTTTAGTTTTGTGCAAAAGCGATATATGGTTTAATTTTACTCCTGAAAATATGGCATTATTTCTGATCAGTTGTATTCATGGTAACCTGTATTTCACGGAAAAACGCTTGATTTCTTAGTAGTTTTCTATCATTTATCATAAGCAGGGTGTGGTAAAAAAGTTAATTTTATTAAAACTTTATTGTGCAAGCACGCACACACAGCAATATATGCTTATAGTTGGTGCCAAATGTATGCAATTGAAAAAGCACGAAGTAAACTTCATGGTTGTCAATCATTTCTGAGTTTGGCTGTCTTTTTTTATACAGTTTTCTCAAGGAGAGGCAGAATCGTATGTCCGAAAACAACTAAAGACCCTTGGGGTTTTAATGTGTTTTGCCTCACCCTGTTTACAACCCTGCCCAATAACAAACTCAGCAGAGAAGACGGTTTAAAGCTGGAACTCGTCTGACAGATTAAAACAGCGATGACCTATTGTCAGGTCTTTTTCCGAACATTTATAAATAATTAAGGTTTTTAGTTGAGATAAAAAAGTCAATGGCACGAGCGGGATTCGAACCCACGATCTTCGGCTAGATACGCCGCTGCTCTACCACTTGAGCTATCGTGACCTCGATCCACTCGGACACCAACTTCCCATCTCAACCCCACCTTTTGAATTTTCCCTCCTTTTTGCCATTTTTCAAATGTCGTATAATCGGGTTGGATTCTCGACGACAAATGAAATGACCACTGAGAGCTTTAGTGAAGTGTATTTCATTTTAATCATTAAATTCACTAATTTCATGGTCCGCTTGACCAATTAATACATTACACTTAATTAAGGTTTTTAGTTGAGATGAAAAAAAGTTAATGGCACGAGCGGGATTTGAACCCACGATCTTCGGCTAGATACGCCGCTGCTCTACCACTTGAGCTATCGTGACCTCGATCCAGTCGGACACCAACTTCCTTAATTAATTGTAATTTATTAATTCAATATAACCTTAATTAATGTCAAGCGGACCACGAAATTAGTGAATTTATAAATCGCTTTATATTTAGTATTTATAATAACACATAAAACTACATCAAAACAGGACTCAGAGTCTATTAAGAATAAGGAATTTTTTTTTTTGAATCCCGCATCTAGCCACGGGGAAATCCCTAACCAATCATTCAAATCAAAAACCACACAAAAGTTATCTTGGGCAATTCCAATCACGACAGAAAATGAAATTTAATTACCGGAAAGTGATTAAATGTTGTATAAATATAATTATAAAAACCGGCTGGGTCTGGTCAGATGTAGGGCGAAAATGTACATATTACGCGAAGTATGTAATCGGGTCATGTTCTTTTTGCCTGTGAAATTTGTTATCTCTGGTCTGCTGTTCAATTTGTAGGTCAAGCTGGGAAGATTAACTTTTAAACAATTATGTTCTTAATTAAAAACAAAATTTTCATGAAGAGCTCATTTTACGAACAAAAAGTTACTGTTCAAATAAGTATTGCGGTATTGCCACCTATTTCAAAGACAATTTTATCATTGCATCAAGTTGTTATGAATGAAAACTTTACAAAAAATATTTACAAAAAGAAAATACCTTTATATACTTAAGGAAGTATAACCTTAATTAAAATAAAAACAGTTCTTATACAGCGTCGATTATTAAACCGTCTGCTGGAGGTGGTGGTCGGCTGAGTATCACTTGAGTAGAGATAATAACAAAAATTAAGTAAACAAAATTAAATTAGATTAAAATTATTAGTGTTTCTCAATAAAAAATTAAAAATTAAACTGCTCCTTGAGCTCTCTGCGATACTCCAGTGCACTCTTTGCAAAGCCAACCTGGACTGAGCAATCTGGGGGATCAAGTCTGGCGATTAAACGTTGTCTCAAAACTCTAGTAGTTCCCAAAAAGATAACTAGAAACTCCTAGAGAATGGTACACTACAAAAAATGGAAGTGGTCTTATCTCGCGCAGGAGTACACAGTGAGCAGCGGTCAACAGAACCATCTCGCACAGGGGAGTAATTAGGAAGATAAGAAGAAGCCAAGAACCACCTTAAATTGATAGAGGAAAACTTTAGATTATTAATGGACAAATTGAAAAATGCCTTTGAATGATCAAGTTTTTTGTAAGGCAGAAATCTATTTGATCTAAGAGCCAGTTCGGTACAAAGTTCAAAATGCATCAAGTTGTTATTAAAACTATATTACATACACTACATTTGGTTATCAATCATTTTTGAGTTTGACTGCCTAATTTTAAACAATTTCCTCAAAGGATTGGAAGTCTAGGATGTCCGAAAACGACTTCAAGCCCTTGTTGTTTTGGTGTGTCTTGCCTCACCTTGCTTACAACCCTGACCCACTACGGAAGACGTCAACATGCCGAAACGAATCTTATTAAAACGATCAAGCTACAGGTTCAACCCGCAAATTCCAACATAATATTTCACAAAGCAAAAATTAACATAATTGTGAAACGTTCGTGTTGAAACAATGATTTAGAAAATAGAATTATGAGACCTCCTAGGAGACCTCTGGCCTCTCTCTGATAGATCAGGGGGAGTCACCCACTTTGGTGCCTGAGCGACTCCGAGGTTGGGCTCTAGTCGGGCGCCATCGACTTCTTTGGTCATTTCGGCGCCCTTACGTTCCCTAAAACTAGTCATTCTCACACTCACTCATACATAAATAACCCCCCCTCATAAATACATACATACTCCTATATATTGTACAAACCCAATCACACATGCATATCCTCTGACTAGAATCCGGGTCGGAGGGTACTCGATATTCCGCCCCGACCCGGCTTAGCGGAGCAGCGGTGGAGCCTTGAAATAATATGCAGCACCGCCGCCCAGCATACTCCTATTCTTACATAAACTAAATCTAAAATTTAACCTATGAAATAAATAACCCACTATATACAACCCATTAGCCCAATATCTCTTAAAGACCTAAGAAGTTTTTCCTTAAACTCGCTGCCATGCTCGAGCATTCTCCTATAATCCGGCGGTATTCCACTTCGGTCCCTATACGGGGCCAAGCTGCGACACCCCTCCAACACGTGCGACACCGTGAGTCTGTCATCTGGCATGCTGGGCACCTAGGTCGACTCGCGCCAACCAACAGATACCCATGAATCGCACGTGTGTGACCGATCCGCAGGCGGGTCAGGACAACGCTTTCCCTTGAGATATCCCCTCCGGGCTCCACCGGTTAACAATGATTTAAATTTTTCTATCATTTCTTGAAATGATTAATTATATCTTGGATAAAGCCACACAATATTCCATGTAGTTCATTATTATTTTCCATTTATTTTTGTGTTAAGAGAAATCAAATTTCGTATTTCGTATGATGATTTGGTATGCTTTTTCCATAATAAACTCACTTCCTGATCAAAAACAAACCATTAGTGATTCAAGGATATAAACAGGGTGAGGCACCAACTCTCACATACCGCTGATTACGGTAGCAGCAGGGCTCATAAGTGTAAATTAAATATAGTAAGCAATTTCTTGGCCGTTTTCGAGTTTTAACTCCTTTATACTTCTCGCCAACTTCAGCGGTGGATCAGGGTTATAAGCAGGAGGCACCAAAATCCCACAGCACGATCCACAGTGAGACAACGATATTATGTTCCAACTTAGTCGATTCCGTTCATTTTTAGTCTGCCTATCTGGCTGTTCGGCATATTCACCAACACATACGAATAAAGCCCAAATGCATCTGATAGACCAAAACCCGCTTATAATCCTTGACCAATTAAAAACAAAATACTGAAGATGGGAAAAAATGGAAACGCGTTTGAAAGATCAAAACAGTAAGGACCTGATGTTCGGTGATATTCGATCAGCCTGGCCTTGCTATCTTTGCTGTTTTGGTCTTGTTGTGGTTACCTACCACGGTTCTGGAATGGTCTCACCCTCCACTTTGCAGCGAATCAGAGCAGAGCCAGTGCATATATGCACTGCCCCACTGTCTTGAGACTCGTCAAGTTTTCAACCCGACGAGTTGACGCTTGTCACTATTGAAGCACCTACGACGAAAGTAAGGGTACTCTCAACATAGCTGACTTGGCTACAGGTAAACTGCTAACTCGGCCAACTGCTCTCTTTACTAACAGACACACACTCGGTCCCCGCCTCGATATACATCTCAACGCTACGCTTCCAAACAACACCGGTCCTTGTCAGGGTCACCAAAAAACACCCAGCCACTAATGTCTTATAGATGCGTTTCAGAAGTCCAGTGGTAGGTGTGTGTCTTGCCTTACCCTGATTACAACCCAGTCCATAACACCCAAACTGAAAATCATCTTACAAATCAAAATATCAAGGACATGTACTTCGGTCGTTTTTAATCAGCCTAGAGTGCCTATCCTCGCTGAGACAAGTGGTTTGTCAGGGTTAAAAGCAGAGTGAGGTAAGAAGCAATCACAAAAAAGAAAAACAAAAAACAAAAGACTGACCAGGAAACTGTTAAACACGAAATAGGTTCACCTTGTAAATTACATGTCATCTCACAATGTTCAAATTTATTTAATTGAGTAACAGTGTTTAAATATTACTTTTCATAAGAATTCGAAACTTTATCATTAAATTTTGGATGAAGTAGGGACAAACTACTTTTACGCGTAGTTATTGTTTTTCGTATTTATCATTATTAATTTCCTTAATCCTGATAGGCCTTGATGTCTGCATTGATGTGGTATTGATAATGTTTTCTCTCTTCTCTACAGATCATTGAAAATTATATACACTAATATTTTTGATGTTGATAAGTTGCAAAACTGGCCAAAATACACCATGGTTTCGTAATTTTTATCAATAGTTTAGCAATTTGAAAATTTTAAATCCGGTTAATCTAGATAATAATTCGGCGGCGACCCGATTTCTCTATCCGCGGCCTCTATTCGACGGATTCGCGAAACACCTTGTCGCGCCTCGCAGACCGGCTGCGTTCTCAGAGGCCAGGGCGACTCGGTTCTGCGATCTCCGACCTTTTCTCTTTCAGCGATCTCTGGTTCAAGATCATTCGTTTCTGCTATTTTCAAAAAGGGAACGTGCGAGGCGGCTGCCGTCACAGTCGTAGTTAGCAGTCACCCCACTCGTCCAATCGTCGCTCGGCTACGCTCGGCTCGGATTCCTGCTCCTGGCTTCCTGGCCATCTACGCGCGTCCTGCGATGGACCGGATCAACGACGAGGACGTCCACGGATGGGAGATCGTCCGAGAGGAGGATCTCGTCGAAAGGAGCGACGACGAAAGCGTCGAAATAATCAACGGTTATTCGTCCAAGGAGGAAGAATCTTCCGCCGAAGGTAACACTTTTCGAAAGATGACTCAATGTTTATATTTACATGTCCTGCCTTATTAAACCAGAAGTGATAATTCGTGGACGAATGACAGCTCGTCCCACGCTTCTTTAACGCCAAAACGACGATTCTTTGTCGATGGACGTAACCCATTAACATATATGAATAGTCAAACATCGGTTATTGTAAAACTGACAACCTGTCGTTTTCATTGATCATAAGAGACCACTAGTGACAAATTAATTGTACAATCCAACAAAACAAATATTTTTATTCCTAACTTTAAAAAAAGTAAAATGAGTTTATTATTATGATTTAATAGTTATAATCCTTTGGTAAACAGTCTTCCAATTTATCCAATCTTCGCTCAAATGTAATTTCCTAATAATAATATTTTTACAAAATGACACAAAAAGTGTAGTTTTTTATGAGGAAGACTGGGCTCTATATTCACACACATTTCCTTATCATTTAATTTAATAATTGATTAAATAATCAAGAATCACATTATCTTATGAATTCAAAATGTAAATACTTTTTTATATTGGGCTAAACAAAGCACAAAAAATGTAATATTAACTGCTTTTGTTGTTCTTAAAGTGGCACACACTTTAAACGAAAATATGATACAACAAGGGAAAACCTGTCATTGTTATTGATCAAAAGAGACCACTAGTGACAAATTAATTGAAAAAAAAAGAAAAAAAAACGAAACAAAATCATATGCTATTTTCATATGTAACTTTAAAAAAAGTAAAATGAGGTTATTATTATGATTTAATATTTATAATCCTTTGGTAAACAGACCTTCCCATTTCTGGAATCTTCATTCAAATGCACTTTCCTAATAATAGTAGCTTTTTTTCAAAATGACACGTGGCTACAAAAATGAATTTTATTTTGGAAGAAGACTATTGCTATTGATCAAAAGAGACCACTAGTGACAAATTAATTGTACAATCCAACAAAACAAATCCTATTTATATTCGTAACTTAAAACTAATTTTAAGTTAATTTTAATTAACTCCTATTTAAAACGTAACTTAAAAAGTAAAATGAGTTTATTATTATGATTTAATATTTATAATCCTTTGGTAAACAGTTTTCCCATTTATGGAATCTTCACTCAAATGTAATTTCCTAATAATTATATTTTTACAGAATGACACAAAAAGTGTAGTTTTTTAGGAGGAAGACTGGGCTCTATATTCACACACATTTCCTTATCATTTAATTTAATAATTGATTAAATCATCAAGAATCACATTATCTTATGAATTCAAAATGTGAATACTTTTTTATATTGGGCTAAACAAAGCACAAAAAATGTAATATTATCTGCCTTTGTTGTTCTTAAAGTGGCACACACTTTAAACGACAATTTGATACAACAAGGGAAAACCTGTCATTGTTATTGATCAAAAGAGACCACTAGTGACAAATTAATTGGAAAAAAAAGAACAAAGAACAAAATCCTATGCTATATATGTAACTTAAAAAAAAGTAAAATGGGATTATTACTATGATTTAATATTTATAATCCAGACCTTCCCATTTCTGGAATCTTCATTCAAATGTACTTTCCTAATAATAGCTTTTTTCAAAATGGCACGTGGCTACAAAAAATGAATTTTATTTTGGAGGAAGACTATTGCTATTGATCAAAAGAGACCACTAGTGACAAATTAGTTGAAAAAAAGAAAGAGAACGAAACAAAATCATATGCTATTTACATATGTAACTTAAAAAAAAGTAAAATGAGGTTAGTATTATGATTTAATATTTATAATCTTTTGGTAAACAGACCTTCCCATTTCTGGACTCTTCGTTCAAATGTACTTTCCTAATAATAATTGCTTTTTACAAAATGACACTTGCTACAAAAAGCGTTTTCTTTAGGATGAAGGCTGAGCTCTACATCCACACACATTTCCTTTTCATTTAATTTAATAATTGATTAAATCATCAAGAACCACATTATCTTATGAAGTTTGAATGTAAATATCTTTTTATATTTTGCTAAAAAAAGGACAAAAAATGTAATATTAACTGTCTTTGTTAAAGTTGTTCTTAAAGTGGCACACACTTTAACTGACAAGCTTTAGACAATATGATACAACAAGCCTGTCATTGTTATTGATCATAAGAGACCATTAATGACATTTAATTGGAAAGACCAAACAAAATCAAATGATGTTTATATACATAACCAAAAAAAGTAAATTGAGGTTATTATTAGGATTTAATGGAATATTCATTCAAATATTAATTGATTTGTAATATATGTCATATTAATTGATGACATGTAATATTAATTGATTTGTACAAAATGTCACTTTGCTACAAAAAATGTATTTTCTGTAAGTGGAAGACTGGTCTCTTACATTCACACATCTTTCCTTAACATTTAATTTAATAATTGCTTAAAATATCAAGAACCTCGCTATCATATGAATTCTAAATGGAAATACTTTTTTTATATTGTACTAAATAAAGCACAAAAATATGTAATATTAACTGGCTTGTTGTTCTTGGTTCTTAAAACCTTAACTGACAAGCTTTAGACAATGTGATACAACAAGTGACAACCTATTATTATTATTGATCATAAGAGACCATTATTGACAAATTAAAAATTGGAAAACCAAACAAAATCATATATTATTTATATTAACTTAAAAAATGTAAAATGAGGTTATTATTATGATTTAATATTTATAATCCTTTGGTAAACAGATCTTCCCATTTCTGGAATTTTCATTCAAATGCAATTTCCTAATAATATTTGGGTTTTACAAATGTCACTTTGCTACAAAAAAGAATTTTATTGAGAAGGAAGTCTGGTCTCTTACATTCATTTCACACACCTTTCCTTAATATTTAATTTAATAATTGCTTAAAACATCAAGAACCCCGCTATCATGAATTATAAATGTAAATACTTTTTTTTATATTGTGCTAAATAAAGTACCAAAAAATTTAATATCAGCTGTCTTCATTGTTCTTGAAGTGGCACACAATTTAAATGACAATGTGATACAAAAAATGACAACCTGTCATTGTTATTGACCATAAGACACCACTAGTGACAAATTAATTGGAAAAAGCCAAATAAAAATGATATTTATATATAACTTTAAAAAAAAGTAAAACGAGATTGTTATAATTTAATATTTATAATCCTTTGGTAAACCAGGTCTTCCCATTTCTGGAATATTCATTCAAATGTGATTGCTTAATAATAATGGCTTTTTACAAAATGTCACGTGGCTACAAAAAATGAATTTTATTTAGGAAGAAGACTATTGCTATTGATCAAAAGAGACCACTAGTGACATATTAATTGGAAAAACCTAACAAAATCATATGTTACTATAAACGTAACTTAAAAAAAAGTAAAATGAGGTTATTATGACTTAATATTTATCATCTGTTTGTTTCCAAACACTACCATGACCTAAACCATTTATGGAATATTTACTCAAATTTATTTCATAATAACATTACATTTATACAAAATGTCACTTTGCTACAAAAAGTGTATTTTCTTTAGGAGGAAGACTTGGGTCTTCCACTCACACATAATTATTTAATAGTTAATTACATATTCAATTAAATCATCAAGTACTGTGCTATCCATGGCATTCATATAAATTTAAATAGATTTACAGAAAATGTTAAATGATATGCAGACAAAATGTAAAATAAACTGTTTTTGTCGTTTTTAAAGTGATACGTAAATGACAGCTGCCTTTTGATCACATGATGTCACAAGTGACGGACGAGCTGTCGAATATTGGAATTTATTTCCTAATAATGTTCGATTTAATTGATGAAAATGTAGGTTTATTAAATATTTGCAGCTTTTTTGGTTTAGAAGATAGTCTGTTATTTAGATTCATTTTATTCGAACTGCTTTGCTATCTGATGACCAGCAACTGAATTAAAGTTTTTTTTTTTATATTGTGCCAAGCAAAGTATAAATATAATTTATATTAAAAAAGTGATTTTTCAAGTGGCAAGGAGTGTTTGTTTATAAGAGATCGTAAGCGACAGCTCAAGCTGCCTGCCCAATTTTTGATTGACTGTCCTCAATAATTCTACAATGCTATTTTATGTCATACAAGTTTAAATATATTTTAGCAATATGTGTATCATGTTATAAGCGTAAATAAATTTTATTTTCCAAATTTGTCATGTTCTTATCAATAAACGAGCTATTGTGACTGTTTTATTCAGTTTATTTGTTTATTTAAATTTGATATGAATTAATAATAAGGAATCAGAAGTGACAAGCTGCCAAGTTAAAGATCTCTTGCATTCATGCATATTTCATTAACAATTATTTGATAGGTATTCATCTAAATTTAAATTATTATTATTTTTTTTATGTTAAGGACAAATAAAACTCAATGTAAACATTTTTTACATTCTTATCAATAGGTGAAAAATTGTGGGCGGTTGTTAAATTACACAATTCTTCATATTTGAAATTGATTTGAACTGATAAATTGTATTATGAATAAGAAATGAAAAGTGAAGTTGTCATTGATCGTAAGGAATCATAAATCAGTTCAATTGAAATTTTATCCAATTTGCCAGGTTTTATGTTGATTTTATATTAAAGTTTTAAATTTTCCCATAAGTTTTTTTAACAATGCCACTTGGTTACAAAAAGTATATATTCTTTAGTGATCTCTTGCTGCAGGTACGAGTACATACAGCCCTAATTTAGAATGGATGAGTGAAAGATCTCGTCGTCTCTACAACATAATCGTCTATTCCAAAATAAACTCTTAAATTTATTATGGTCAAAGCCATAAGTACCAATACTGTATGTAGATGTTAATATTTGTTAAACAATTATATCATTAAACATGTTTCAAAGTACTGAAGACGGAGATACTTACACTCCTTGATAGCTTGAAAAAGGAACTGACTATATAATTATAATATTAAAGCTGATATCAATCATATCAAGATAATGTATATATTAAAAAAAGTTTTATTTGACTAGAGTGTGATTTACCTTGTCCTTCGTAATTGAAAAAGAACTTGAAGCTTAGAAATCAAACTTGACCTTATTCTTTCTTTTCAGAACAATTTACATGATAAAAAAATCAAAATGTTAAATAATGTTTTTTTTACAGATGATGATGAGTGTGAATCTCCAGATCATTTAGGGTTAGGTAACTGCATCACACCAGTGCAAACAGGTGGTCAACTTGTCCTTCTGCAAGATGAACTTACAGGTTCATCTGCCACTGTCAGCTTTCAGGATGTTGTAGAGACAGTCGTTGTAGTAATTGCCATTTCATCAATGGGGCTAGCAGTCACCTCTGCTGTTATGAATAGAGAAGGTAATTTTTTAATTTGACCCTGTATGTATCAAATCATGTCCACGACCTTAATATACCCTACTCGACACCATCCTATCCGATATCACAACTTCCACAAATCCCAGTCAACTTTAACTCGCACATCCAACAGCTCTCATCTCGCCCATTCCCCTCAAACCCTCCATGAAATCTAAAGAGATCAAGAGATCTGCCTAGTGAACATAGTGAAAGGAAAATATAATACAATCTAATTGTCTGATTATACAAAATTGCGGGTTGTAGTAACATTAAAGGAAAAAACTTTCAAGTCTTTGTTAATTGTATTTTTTCAGGATTAATTTTTCTTGATTAAGTGAGATTTTATAGCACTTTTGTAAATTATTTAACTCAGATCAACATATGTTATTTTTTCATATACATTATTTGCTCATAGGTAGAATAATGTAGTAATGATACATAATTAAATATGATTAATTAATACGTTTTGTATATTAATGCAATATGTACTTTTTTTCCAGATGTTGTTGCACGTCAGATTCAAAAGTTCCATTTGGACAACATGGATCTCAGAGAACAAATTAATTATTTGAAAAAAGGTAACATTTTGATGTGAACATCACTTTCTTTCTAACTATTAAAAATAAATTAAAAATTAATATTGACTTTTTTAGTAATTCAAGATTTAAAAAGTTTACAAATCCCCAAATACAAACCGGAAGAAGGTGAATTAATGGGATTCAAAACTAGTGCTGAAGATCCCTTACAACCTTCTCATCCGTTTTCCAATCAAGTGAGAAATGATTATAATGAGAAAATACACGTGGAGGAACATGCTAGCAGGATGGATACAGAGGATAAAGTAAACATGGAAAATTTCACCCAAGGAAATTCTTTTGAAAGTCCCTTGCCAAATATAGCAGACGATTTCATTTCCAGAGGAGAATTGTTTAAACACTCTATCAAAACAGATATTGATCTCTTGAACAATCAAGTCGCGCAGAGTATACTCAAAACTTCATTGAGCATTAAAAACATCCTTTATGAAAAGATTTGCTTGTTGGGCCCATATTTTGTGTTGAGTGAAGAAGATTGTAAAAAACATTTACCAGACTTGATAAACAAAGAACCTGTAATACTTCAAAACATCAGTCAACTTGTAGAAATTTCTAATAACATTTCTGCTATTATAAATGGAGTTGCTAAGGAAGTTGCTTTCTCCTGGATGGAACTGTATGTTAATTTATTTGAGAATAGGTTAAACAAAATTTCTAATGATATTAACCAAAATATTAATGTTAATAATGAAATTATGACAAATATATTAAATCATGTAACCTCCAAAAATAACTCTCAATATGTCACTTTGAATGAGAAACATCATTGTAAAAAAATGTGCTCTAGAATAAAGCAGAAAAAAAGGGAAACTGATAAAACTTATAATAAAAAAGCAGAAAATTTTGATAAGCAACATAAGAACAAGAAAGAGAAAACAGAAAAAAATGGAAAATATAAAAAAGTGAGGCAACCTCAAGATAAGAAAAAATTGAAAAAACAGAATAATAAATTTGAACATAAGAATTTAAAAAAACAACCACACCATCATAAACATAAGAAAGAAAACGATGACAATTACAAAGGAAAATTTTATTTTGATAAAACCAAATGGAAATTTGTCACTAAGGGTGGGAAAATAAATAAAAACACAATGCATAAAAGAAAGGAAAAACATTGTTGTGGCATTGGAAACTGCAGTTTTAAATATGGTTGTTCAATAAATATGACATTTGACAACATGAAGCCTGAAAAGAACTGGTATATTGACATGGGTAATCATCGTTCAAGTAAACGATTTGAAGAGTCAAGAATTGAGTGGGTGTTCGACAGAGCAAAAGGTCGAAGATTTATGAAGAGTTAAAGTTTTATTTTGTTTATAATACGTTTTGCACAAAAAGGTTATATTTTAAATTAAAATGTAAGTATTTTACTGGTACAGTAACTTATTGTTAAAAACGAATGGTATGACTAATATCATTGATTATGGATCTGTTTTTATTTATTTATTTATTTTTTGTTTTTAAGAATAGTTATACCACAAATGTGATTTGTAAAAATATTAGTTGTATAAATGTAGATATTTTAAACTTTTACCACTAATTAGTTTTGTTTTCTTTACCACACTGAAGTGTATTATAAAGCTTTAAATTTTCACAATTACCTGAATTTAATTTTAAATAAATTGTTTTTAATATTGCTTTTTTGTCTCATTCTTATTTTTTGGAGTGAATAACAATTTATGTAAAATTAGATGTTCCCTTTTGTTTTTAATTACGGTAACATCAGTCAATTCCTACCCTATTAGAAAATTCAGCTGATGATTAAAGCTACATTGGCCGCTAGAACTTTACAGTGTAAATTAATGGAAAGATTTCAGTGAGAAGGAATGTTAATACTGGGCAACTTCTACATGTGATTCAAACGACTTAATCAAAAGCTTAAGAAAATATTTATTTAAATAGTTATAGTAAAGTTATGCTATTCAATCAGAACAAGTAACAATTAAATTAAATTATATTTTTTCATTATGTTATTTTAATTTTTTTTTAAAGTTTCTGTATTACAATTAATTAAGGTTTTCTAGTTGAGATAAAAAAGTCAATGGCACGAGCGGGATTCGAACCCAAGATCTTCGGCTAGATACGCCGTTGCTCTACCACTTGGGCTATCGTGACCTCGATTCACTAGGACACTAACTTCCCATCTTAACCCCACCTTTTGAATTTTCCCTCCTTTTTGCCATTTTTCAAGTGTCGTGTAATCGGATTGGATTCTCGGCGACAAATGAAATGGCCACGGAGAGCTTTAGTGAAGTATACTTCATTTTAAATCATTAAATTCACTAATTTCGTGATCCACTTGACCAATTAATATATTACAATTAATTAAGGTTTTTAGTTGAGATAAAATAGTCAATGGCATGAGCATTGTAATATATTAATTGGTCAAGCTGACCACAAAATTAAAGAATTTAATGATTGAAAATGAAGTATACTTTACTAAAGCTCTCCTGGCCATTTCATTTGTCGCCGAGAATCCAATCCGATTACACGACATTTGAAAAATGGCAAAAAGGAGGGAAAATTCAAAAGGTGGGGTTGAGATGGGAAGTTGGTGTCCGAGTGGATCGAGGTCACGATAGCTCAAGTGGTAGAGCAGCGGCGTATCTAGCCGAAGATCGTGGGTTCGAATCCCGCACGTGCCATGACTTTTTTATCTCAACTAGAAAACCTTAATTAATTGTAATGTATTAATTGGTCAAGCGGACGACAAAATTAGTGAATTTTCTGTATTACAATTTTTCTCTTTTTTCTTTTAATTTAATAATTTTTAATTCTTTTAATAAATTGATATTATTTTCTTGTCCCACATAAGACTAAAAGTTATAACAAATTTTGTTTAACAACAAATTTAAAAAGAGGTTTAAATAATGCGATTGATTTGAATATTATTTGACCTAAGTAAAACCATGAACTTTTTTCTGTAAAGCTCAAGTTAATTCCAGTCAAAGCCAAGTCGAGCAATTTTCGCCATGAATGTTGTGATATCTAATCTTCACCAATCTGATCTTAGCGTAACGTTTGGATTGTATGGTAAGTGTGAACAGTGCTGCATCGACCCCTTTTGTAATTGGTGCAGATTGAGAGCGAACAGTGGCTTAAGCATTTATCTACAGACCCTCAAAGCAAATATTTTTTCACCACTAAACCGCAATGTTAAAAATGTTTAAAACATTTGCCTCTGATCCAGTTTTAAGTATAAAATGTTTTCGTTTTTTAATTACCATTGGTGTCATTACAAATTAAATCCATGTAGATATGGTAAAATTCCTAAAACAATTAATTCTTCACAAGTTAACTTAGCAAAACAGCAAACAATACAAAACACTAGTATTCTTATACAAATGATTAGTATTTAGTAAATTATGTTAATGAACCTTTCCAGAAATTAAAACACGTAACAGAATCACAGCGTATTACTTCCAAGCACTTTATAATAATTTATGGCATATCAAATTTTTATAAACTATAAAATGTACTTAACCAACTAACATTTTATAAAAAGTGATGGAAAATCGCAAATATTTACAACATTAATTTTTTTAATGCTAGTTAGAATAGTGATGTGTCATACATAATGTTGTCACACATGTCTAAAAAGCATTTTGGCATTACCCCGTCTTCAGTCATTCATTGGATGGTCTGCGTGTTATTTTAGTGTGTCCTTTTTATTCACTAGAAAATGAATGACTGGAGTTTATTAATAAATTTTGATATTTTCTCCCTGGTGTCTGCAGGGTGATGATTCTGTAGTTTGGGGTTTTTCTGAACGGTTTAGACCGTTTATAGCCATGGGTGCCCAGCAGAAAATAGGAATACCAAAATAATTGAAAATTTCCAAACTATAGATTAATCGATTGTGTTATTCATTGCGAGTTTAATTATAATAATCAGCACTGGCAGAGTTCTATGTACACATTTTGTTAATCAGTATATCCATGTATCTGCTCGATTGATCCTAGATGCCATTATTATTATTTTAATAGAAAACTTCTTTCATTTTTTATTTATTTATTTTTTAATTTTTAAATTTACCCTTTAAAGAAGTGTATGTTCTGCTAACAAACATTCTCTTTTCCTTAAACCATCTTACTTGAACTATACTGTTTGATGTACTTTTGTTGTTTCATCAAATTTTATTACTAGTTGAAATTTTATAAAAACAATAACCTTAATTATTTCCATTGGGAAAATTCACTGCTTCATCATGGAGACAATGGATTTTTATTTCACTGTTTCAGCTGCGATTCTGTTTAGAATATATCATGAACATCCGTTGATATTTTTAGCCACTAGAATGGCTCTTACGCTCAACCATTTGCAATTTCAATAATTTGTTTCCGTGCTTTCAAAAACCTTTTCTACTAATTCTTATTTCGAATTCACAATGCTGCAGAAATTAGATGGGAAGGTGATTTTTCCCGTTTTTATTTGAAGGTACATTACCGACTTCGAGTAATTGTCTTGAAATTATATCAACTGTTGGAATATAGACGATGATGAACTGGAAAGAAACAAGAAATGAATTCTATTTTCGAAAACGAGCATATTCGAATGCAGCGCGTCAAAATTTCAAGTCAATCGACCTGCTACTTTTCGAGTTTTGCGAGACTTACTACTCAATAAAATTCCAAATTGATGATTCGGACCCTAACCACTAGCTAATATATTATTTAGATAGATTAAACCCGCGTTGCTTGTAAGAAATGCCGAACTAACGACATGTAGCGCCGTGACATGAAAAAACTTCCCTTTAATGCTTAATTATTCCCTGTAAAGTATTAATAAAAGTAGACAAAAACGAAGACTTAATCATTTTGTAAACTACTAAATTATGTATTATCTTTATTTATTCATTCACTGATGCCTTGTTTTTCATTAGTTAAGTATGTATTATAAAGCCTTTTTTTTATTAAGGAAGCAACCGCTAAGAGTCATAATCTGCTTTAAACAGAAATATTTTTAGGTTAGCGATGGAACAGAAACCGCCGACCAGCAAGGGGTCCGGTCGGGTATTCCACCTTACTATTTTTTTGAAGCATTAAGTCAAACAAAACACCGCGGTAGCAGAAAAGGTGCACATCCTTCAAGGTCTACCCGGGGCTTCATCCCAGCCCAGGTGCACCTTGCATCGCCCCCCGCCCAACTACAAAAGGCGCGCCCAAGTACACCTCGGCCACAGCCACCACCCTGCCTTATCTTCTAAATTTTAGAGAGCAGACCAGCAATCTTCAAGAAATTGAAAAGATTTTCTATTCTATGACCATCGTATGACCAAATCTGTCCCAAAGTACCCGAATCTCCACATGTGCAGCCAGTAAGAATATGTCTGATTGTTAGCGGTTTCTGACAACTTTGACAGATCGGTGGAGGTTCTCTCGCCATGAGAAAACCATGCGTGAGTCTACATGATCTACTCTGAGCCGAGTTAGGACCGTTTCTTTTTAAGGGAGGTTCGAGTGGCGACTATTGTTTTACGTCTTCCTTAATTTCTCTCAGCGTTCATTTCAGTTCAGGTCATTCCATTCGTTATGCCACTTTAACCAAAGTGTTCTCTTGATCTGGGTGAGAAAGTTTTCTCCAGAGACGTAATTTATCCAGATCCCTTCTGTGACCGCCGCATCAGCAAGAAAGCTGTTACGAATTCCTCAATGACCCGGTATCCACATGAATAGGATTGTGACATTTCTCGACCGAAATTCCCTCAGGGCAAGGAGTATTTCCTGAATTACGGGATTAATGGAGAATTGATTCCTTATTAAAAAGATTTATACAGGGTGATCATGAATAATGTATTAAACTTGAGGGTGTTTCTAAATATGAAATGCAACAAAAATGTATTTCTTGAACGATACCTGATAAAGGTTATATTTTTTGAGGTTTTTTTATGGGTTTAGTTCCCAGCAAAACTGGGGCTTCTCCTAATGGTTATATCTTCCGATCCCTTAGTTCTATAAAATTCAAACTTGTCTGATGCCTCTAAAAACTGATTAAATTACCATTAGGAAAACATATCATGCCAGGTGAATCTTAAAATGGCGAATTTTATAAAGATTTAGATTTCATTTAGTTTGTCCAAATCTTCTGCCCCCTTTCACTCCATACCTCGCAATTTTTCACATTCTTGTTTAATTTTTTCACACAGTCGGAATCGCAAACTTGAATAAATTGTTGGGAAGTGTATTAATCAGTGAAGGTTTTGTGATTGTGCACAGTCCTTTTTAAACAGTAAAATTCGTGAAATGAATTGAATTCTTACTAAGTTTTGCATTTTTCAAATTTCTAAATATTTTTATTACTTCTGTTACAAATACGCTGCAAAATGAAACTGGTATAAGTGATTTCTTAATGGATATTTATCAGTTTTTTAGTGGCACGTTCACACTTGTAGTGTACAAAAATATGATCATTTTTGTGAAGAAACTCGAGCTTCACGAGAAAGACCTAAACCAGAAATTTTACCCTTGTTATTGAGAACCAGAGAGAGGCAAGAGAAACTTTTTTTGTTGCATTTTAAGTATAGAAACTCCTTAAAGTTTGATATATTATTCGTTAGTTTTAATATATTTAATTATATTCGTTTGATTATATTTAATTATATTTCATTTGATTATATTTAATGAAATGAAAAAAAAAG